GGCCCATTACCGGCATTTATTATCGGCCCATTAATGGTAGTTGATCATCGGCCGATTAATGGGCCCAGCAATGGGCCACGTATTATTCAAATTATTAGCCCAATAATTAATACAATTCAATGTATTATTTAATTCTATTTATTAATTAATTATTTAATAAAATATTCTATATATAAACATTCGGTGTCACAATATGTTTGTCCACTAATAATTCCAACAACTACTCAACTTAATTTAATGAAATTAATTTTATTTCACACGTGATTTGTTCCAACTTAGCACATAGCCCAATTTTTTTTTATTATTTTTTATTACTAATTTAAAGATTTTTATTTAGAAGTTATCTAGGTTCTGTAAGGTTCTTTGTATAGATGGCACTGTATTATAATTCAATTATTTTGAAGCTTGGTTTTCTTTGAGGGTGTTTCACTTCTACTGTGTGTGATCTGCAACACATCTGTTTTTTATTTTTTTTTTTTGAAACGTATTTATTAATTCTATTCATAAAAATTCTTACGGTTTAATGACTGCTTTATTTACAAAATTAACTTCGTATACTCGATTTACTGAACGAAACATTGTGACGTAATTCTACTGTGACGTAAAGATTGAAAGTAACTCGAATAGTATAACTTTGACGCCCTCTCACATTGGTTTCTGCGCCAGGTCAGCCAGTCCGATATTTAGAGTCCGATCTATTGTAAAACGAAATTTATTTATAACCGGGCGTACATCGTTAAAATATGCGAAAGATTGAAAGCGTTCCGGAAGAGCGATTGACGTTCATCATCATCATAAAAAAAAGGGGAGAAAAAAAAGAAATGGATAAAAATAGGTAACATGTAGGTACCTACACAAAGGATTCATTTTATTATCTACTTTGTTCTATTATTTTTATTATCGTATTATTTAAAGTTATACTTTATCATCGACTACGAATTAATAAAAGAACCTTAGACGGTTTACAGTCATTTATGTTAAAATTTATTTGTTAATTTGTGACAGAGATATTGAATTCATTGCAACGATATTTTTTTTTCATAATAAAAGTTCTTTTACATCGTTTCACCTGTATTGCAGATGTATTATGCATATGTATACGTTACAGTCAATGTAGTAATACGGGAATTGTATACATTGCCCAAG